TATCTCAAAATCATAGGACTATCCACATCAACAATCAATCATCGAATTAATTAATAACTGTAATTATTTACAAAGTGAATCATCATGATAATACCCAGCTTTATGAAACAACTAAGTGAGTTCCTCTAATAAGACAATTCTTAACCAAGAATCAAATCGTACATTTTGAGTTTATGTATGTTTTACAACTTTTACATTTATTAGGTTACATGACTTTGTAGTTTGTAGGAATACAATGATTGTTTACAAAAGTGCTATACAAAATTTTATTTCAAAACATAAAATGTGACATTTGTGATCTATGGTTTTGTAACGAGACATTTTCAATGCTATAAGTGAATGACCAAAAATCATTGGCTAACAATTTCCCTAATGGTTGACAATTATAAGCATAAAATTGAAAGACTAAATACCATTGACAAATGAGCCAATTATCATTGGCTACATTTAACAAACAATGGTATGTGTATAACATTGGAAATTATATGGTATGCTCGATGGATTGAGGGTTATTGCATCTCCTTAGTTAAATAATATTATCTAGACCATAGATTAATCACGTAACTAAACCCTATATCATAATTCTCTAAATCCTAATATAGTGCATAAGGCATGTTGTATGCATCTTGGCGAATCAGGATCATTGATTACTTTCTTAGTATATGTGATATTAAGGTTTAAGTTCTATTGATTTAGGGTATATGATTTAATTATTTGAAACTTAATCTCCCTTTTCAAATTTCCTGCAATGAGAGGGAAATTAGGAAGGACATTTTTGTCTTCACAATTATGTGTATTTTTTATTTATTTACCGAAAAAATAGACATATTGAGATTTGAACCATGGTCACTTCAAACAAAGTGAAGGTTTAAAGTCAATCAGACTATGTAGATTTGTTGTATTTTTTTAAATTAAAAATATATACGAAGCTAAAATATGAAATCACATAACTTTTCAACAGTTAGCTAGCCCAATAAATATTCCGTAAGTACTTATTTGGTGTCTTGATACTTTGATTTTGATATTTTTTTATTTAATTATAGTATAATATTTAATTTAAAATTTTATCTATCTTATAAATAGACGATAACCATAAATTTGCAACCAAAATATTGTTGGTTTGAATATTTCATATCGAATTATAGCATTGAATATGTAGAAGCGATATAGAATTCTTAAATTACCATTAATTTCCAGAACTATAGTGAAACAATCATATCTTTGTGCAAACTATAGGGGACTAGTTCTCTGAGCATTTTTTGTCCGGTTAAATACTAAGTTTTGAAACTCTTCCTAGGGGTGTACGTGGGTCGGTTCGTTTGGGTTTAGATATTTTAATCACCTAACTCATATACCACGATTTTCAGAACACTAAATACAAACTCACCCAAATAATTTAGAATTTTAACTGTTTGTGTCCTCCATACCAAATGAACCAATTTACATGTCGCTTAACTAAGGACGATCTTATTGTCCAATCACATCATTCTAATGTCAATCCATAAAAGTAACCCATATTCGCGTTTGTTAACACATGTTTCACATTGTCATTACTGTGACCGGTAACTTCGCTGCAACTGATTCGGTATTGCTCATCATATGGCCTCCAAACTGATAAACATATCGGGCCAGCAGTTTTATGACAAAACTCAAAGTGAAGACAACTCATCGTTTGGTGGAATTTTGGCGCTTGCTGGTGTCCATTAATCTAATTGCAAGCATAATGATTGCTAAAATTAAGGTTCACGCAACACACTGGGAGTTGGGGGTGTGAACTTGGAGTAAAAGTTTATATTGGGTTTGGGTAGGGAAGTGGTGAGAGGAAGAAATTGTGTTTGGATTTGGTAGTAGGTAAAGTTCATGGTTCGGTTTCTTTTCGTAAAATGCTTTGATTTATTTTAGTTAGAGGTATAATATCATGGTTATGTGGGACCAAATGAACCAAAAATGAGTTTGGGGAATGGGAATTCCAACTTAGAAGGAGTGGATTAGATTTTGATAAACTCAAGTTCATGATTAAGTGAAAGAATATTTAGATTTAGACTTTGTGGTATTGAGATGTTCATAGAGAGTTTAAAACTGATCCAAGACCATGGATTGATATTAGTAAGTTGATTGTGATTTTGAGGAAGGTGTATAAAAAGTCATGGAAGTAGTTTGCAGCAAGTGAAGGCAGTGAAGAGGCAGTTGGTCAGGGTAGTGATTGAACTAAGGAGGGTATTAAAAGACATAGAAGCAAAATCGGAGCAGTTGAAGAGAGAGAAGTGGTAGATGACCAGGATATTAATGAAAATTGAAAGGGTATTGAAGGGCATGGAAGTGAACTAGATTAGGTGAAGGCATAGAATGAGGAGAAGAGCATGTTGATGGAATTGAAGATGAGTGTTGGTTTTACGAGCTTATTAAAACTGCCCCGAGGAAGATGAGTTGGCCATATACAAGAAAGAGGATTGAGGAGTTGGAGATCAAGCTGACAAGTAACTCAATTGATAGAGAAATTCGGGTTCATGGAGAGAAGGTCCATCAAAGTAGCATAAATGGAGTTGCAGAAGGAGGATTAGAATTTGAATTTTGGTTTAAAACATATACATCGAGAGCTTGAAGATGGAGGGATAAAAAGTTGGTTGTACAACGGAGAGTGGAAACTATTGGATCTTTAGGTGTTATGGTTGTTGCAACTACCACAACCTATGTTTATGTTAAAACGAGGAATCATTGATTGATTTATTAAAGTTAAGGTCGATTCACTATTCAAACTACGGGAACCTGTAGATAAAGAGTGTCTAATTTTGTGCCTCATTACTTGATCGAGTCTATTAGTATATTGGATGTAACTCTAATTTTGTCATTTGCTCTCAAGTTTCGATGGTCAACCTCAAACCACACTAGACGCAACACAACTTTGACCAAAACCATATCGAATTGAATCTAATATTTCTTGGACCTTCATCCTACCAATCATACAAGTTCAAAAGAAAAATGTTATGATGGGACATTTCGAACGAACTTCATCGGATCCCACCAGATCGAATGCACTTATGGTCCAGTGTTGGATTCTATGATTTGTTTCATTAATGGACCGTGTTTCTAATAAATATAAACAATCAAATATGAACATGCATAATGTTATTCGGCCAACGGGCCGAGTTATAAGCTAGTAATTCTGTTGAAGACGGACTACAACAATGCCCTACCATATACAATTACACATAACCATATAGCTTTTTATATACAATTTGTCTAAAATAGAAGATTATGATATTACGATACAAAATTCATAGAAAACTATAGCGATATGCATAAATAAAGTATTGTTATGGTGAAAATTGGACGGAATTGAATCAATTAGGTCAAACTGATTTGAGATTGGGCGGACCGAACTGATTTTAATAACCGTTTTCTCCGGAGTTGCATCTGGAGATAAACCTGGTTTGGGAGGCATAGACAGGATCTCCAAATCACATTCGAGATTCTTCAGCTTCATCTGTATGAAGCCACAATGCCACGGTCATCACCTTCTCATCTTCCGTCGTCGTCGTAGTTCCTCTGCTTTTCGCTTTTCCAGAAACCAATTAGTTGCATCTACGTACCCAATTAGGATATGTTAGCTCCCGCTCAAACCCAATCGATCAGGCAACAAAATAACCAACCGATCTTCCCCCCGCAGCCCGACTCCCCTCCCTCGGTTCGAATCCGTCCCCTCCCCGGTCCGGCACGGTCAGCGCCACGTGCGGGACGGGCAGCGTGTTGGCCCGACAGACGGGGCAGTTCGGGTGCGACAGAAGCCACCTGTCGATGCACGCCACGTGGAACACGTGCGAGCAAACCGGAAGCGCCCGGACCGGTTCCCCTTCGGTGAAATCCGACAGGCAGACCGAGCACGTGGTAGCAGTAGTGCTGCCCGCCGCCGCCGCCTCCAGGCTCCGCTCTTTGCTGTACCTCACCACCGGAATCAGCGCCGCCGACGAGTTGCTGTTGCTGCTCGCCGTGCTCCGGCTCCGGCTCGCTTCTTCGTCGTTCTCTTGATCTCCCACCGCCGCATCATTCTGCGGGGATTCGGGTGGGTGAATTTGGTAGCAGCCGACGGCGATGCAGTGGTAGGTCGCGACGGCGATTGCTCCGGCAAGCATCCCGAGGATTCCGATCATGAGCGGGCTGATTTCCGTCGGGTGGTCTCCTCCAGCCATCCTATATACTCGGTGGGGAAAGTGAAACTGAGCGACCAATTGTTCGAGAAATTCGGGTGACTTATTATAGAGATCTTTAAATCAGAAATGTAATTCGGCCGGCGATGAGATCTAGCGTTTCCGGCGTCATTATATAGCGAGTGGTTTTGCAGTTGTAGGTTTTATTTGGTTGATTGTAGTGATTCCTCTTCGTCCTAATATGGGTTTCTAATTATTTATTTGGATATACGTTAATTAATCCCTCCCTTGTTTATCCTTAGCGCTACGTTGTTGTAATTGTAGGGAAATGTAAAGACGAGAAAGATTTCAACATAAGAAACAAATTAGACGTCCAAAATTGGTGAGTGGGGTAATTAATTAACCTAATTGTGATTTGTGGACTACTTAGTTGAGTTGAGTTGAGTGTGGATAGAGACAGGACATAGTCCATGTTAAACGTCAAAAAGTATTTTTAATCGTGGTGCATAGAGATTTTGTGTTTTCCTAGTTTAGCTAACTAATTTGTGGTGTGAGAATGAAAATGAGCCTAGAGGCTATAGCGAGTTGTGAAAATGCTAAAAAATTTCACGGTATGATATTTGAAAATTAATGAAATAACATACATAATCTCACGATCACAATAGTATAAAAAAAAAATTCACGATTTTTCTTCTCCAAATATATACAAGTAAGCATTTTGAAAGAGATAAAATAAGCGAAGAGCAAATTTTTATTGCGAAGCAAAAAGTATTTTTTATATGTAAAGTAATTGTGATGTGGTTAAATAAGTCTAGCCTTTCTATGGAGAGGAATTGGAATACATAAAACACAAAATATAGAAATAACACCATGTATTGAAAATCAAAAAGTCTTACAAATCCACATGAAACATAAACCATATACAATTGCAAGTTTCAAAGTCGAATACTAATTTGAAAAAGAAACCCTAAAATATACAAATAACTCCAATTAACAAACTATGCACACATCTCTTTCCTAAGCTTCTCTATGGCGTGAAGGAAAACAAAAGCAGAAGTTCTATTCAGAGCATTTACAACAACACAAAACCAGCAAAGCCACCCAAATGCCATCACTCCGAACTCGTAACCAAACTGATCGTTTCATCGGAGTACAGGGAAGACGACCACGACGATTCATCGGAATAACCCTCTTCTCCGATCACCGGCGTTGCATCTGGATACAAACCAGGCTTAGGAGGCAATGGCAGGGTCTCCAAGTCACCTTCAAGCATCTCCACAACTCTGCCCATCGAAGGCCTATTCTCTGGCTTCATCTGTATGCACCACAATGCGACCATCACCATCTTCTTAGCCACTACCTTCTCGTCTTCTGTTGTTGTCGTCGTCGTAGTCTCGCCGCTTTCCACTTCTCCAGAAACCACTTGGTTGTAAACCCAGTTAGGAAAGTAGCTCCCACTCGAATCCACAGGGTTCGTGGGACCCTTCCGTTTTCCCGCCATCTCCATCAGCAACATCCCGAAGCTGTACACGTCGGCCTTATACGAGACACGTCCAATGTTCTTGTAGAACAACTCCGGTGCAATGTACCTACAATTCACAAGTTCAAGATCAGCAATCCATCCTTAATTCGAGTACAAAAGATGACTTCTGTTCCAAATTGTACCCGATGGTTCCTCTGGCTGCAGTGAGTGACAAGGTGTTGTTGCTCGCTGCAGGACGGAGCTTTGCCAAGCCGAAATCCGAGACCTTTGGAATGAAATTTTCGTCAAGGAGGATGTTGTGAGGCTTGATGTCGAAATGCAGGATCTGCATATCGCAGCCACGATGGAGGTACTCGATCCCTCTGGCGACGCCCGAGCAAATCTTGAACATCTGGTTCCAGGACAGAACGACATTCCCATCTGCTCCTCCATATGAAGACGTGTACTTGTCGAGGGAGCCATTGGGCATGAAGTCATAGACGAGGGCCCGCTTCGACCTCTCGGCACAGTAGCCTACAAGGCGGACCACGTTGACGTGGTGGATCCTTCCTATGGTGGCGACTTCGTTGATGAAATCTTGTCCGTTTCCCTTGGAGTCGTTGCTCAGTAGTAGCTTGATTGCAGCAAACTGGCCACTGCGGAGCTTGCCTTTGTAGACGGACCCGTACCCTCCCTGTCCTAGTTTGTCCCTGAAGTTACTCGTCATCTTCTTGATGTCAGAGTAAGAGTATCTCACTGGAGTGAAGTTGTTCTGGCTCCGGAGGAACTCTTCAACGCCCTCGAACATCGACAAGTGTCTCCTCCTCCATCTGAAGATCACGAATCCCAACACAAAAGGGCCTAGGAATATCAATCTGGCCACGACTATTACTCCTGTGAAGGCAGAGAATTACAGCTAAAACTTGTCACTCTCCACCCAAAGTGACTTATCTGACTTGATGAAATATTGATAGAGGCAAGAGAAGGAACTAAGTGCTTACCAATGACCAGCAATATGAGCAAGCGCTGATCTGCAAGGCAAGAAAGTTGTAAGATGTCGATTAAGATGCGATATTCAATCAAGAAATTATCTTAATCCCACCTAAACTAAGTGACAGAGAGAGTTTCTTGGGTCTAGCACAATCATGTTCTCTTTGAATCCTTTCGGATCTCTGTCTGGTAAACATTATATAGATACTTAGTTGATCAGTTGACAAACACAGGCAGCCTCCTAGTTCTTTTGTGGTAATCCTCTCCGCTTAACTAGCACAAAGTTTGTCAGTGTGGATAGCCTCCTACTTAGGACAATGGGCACAGTTATAGCTTTTCAGTAGAGATTAGAGCACCACAAAACTGGGAAATTTAACTCACATGTGAAAGTGTAGTTGATCCAATAGAAGAAGGTCTCCGTAGATGCAGAGCAGTCTGGGGTAGACCCACTAAGCAAATAGCACACTTCCGCCCCTCTGCAACTTATACACGCAACTTGATACCAAACAAGCTCAAACCCATCGACCAAGTCATTATGCACGTCGAGGAACGAAACATTGCCGATATTGCCCCTGATGGGCAGTGAAGATGGAACTATCAACTCCACCGTGCAGGCATCCCCTACATCCGTCAAATCGCCTCCAAGCATCACATAAGAATACGATGTCCCATTCACACAAGGAGCAGTGTCCACATAACGAGGAAAATCTTCCTTCTTCACAGGATTGAGGCACTTCATAAACGTTGCCACCCTGGGTTGTTCGTTGTACGACCCGATCCAGTTGAAGGGACTTGCAGCAGTGAAGTTGGGTCTGAGCAGAGAGTGACGAGGGATTGTAGAGCAGTTGTCCTTCTGCACGGCGGCATCGACGAGTCGAATTGTCAATTTGTTGTAGTCAATTGCTTGAACGTGGTATTTGCCTTCGGAGATGTATAGCACTGTGATGTTGTTCTCGCAGACCAGCTCGTAAAGAGGATAGCCGCAGTGCTCTGGATCGCCTCTTAGCCGAAAAGGGTAGTTGATTGGGATGTTGCCGCAGGAAGAAGGAGGACATCGATGCCTGTTCTGGGCGCTGCATATCTGGAGAAGGACGAGAACTAAAAGCAGCACAACAGAGAGATCGGTTAACGTGAAGAACTTCAACGCAGCCATATCCCATATATTCCCCACTTTTGGATGTGAAAAAAAGGGAAAGAACAGAAAGAAAGCAAGTCTTATCCTATTGGTGTTAGGTTAAGATCCAAAAACTGAAACATCTATGGTCAAAGATGAACAAATGAGACCGCCCTGAATTTCAAACTTTACGGACCAAGTCAAATGTGCTGAAAGTAGACTCAACCTTTCTGGAAGTGAGAATTCATTCTTGGTATCAGACTCAAAGAAGCCCACTTTTTTCCTCTAGCTGTTTTGTAGCGAATGATTCAAAGACTCTTTGACTTCTACTTCTACCCATACTTGGCCCATCTTTCCTAGTTGGAAGTTGACCATGACTTTTCCAAAGTTGCAGAGCCTTCATTTGACCTTAGCAAGTAGCAACCTCATCCAGAACTACCACCATTTCCGACCATTCTTCACTGCCATACATGTACATCTCTTCTAAAATTCAGAGGAGACTGAAAACCCATATCTTCCGTTGCGCTTAGATGGATAATCTCTTGAAGAAGCATCTTCCTTTTGTTTGTCTGCTCGTGGTAGCACTCGCCCACCATGGGCGAGGACTTACCGACTGCCAGGAAACAAGATGCGGTCGCCACGGTCCGAAGATCAGATACCCGTTCAGGCTAAAAGACAGGCAGCCGGCCACCTGTGGTTATCCCGGGTTTGATTTAACCTGCAACGAGATGCAGCAGACGGTGCTCGAGCTACCAAATTCAGTGAAGCTTTACATCCAGAAGATTGACTACACATCCCAGAGCATCGTAACTGTTGACCCTAATGTCTGCCTTGCAAGACAGGCTAGAAACTTCAATCTGTCGACGTCTCCATTCCGATACCAAGGGTTGTCCACTTTTGGAGTGGGGTATGTCTTCTTCAACTGTTCAGCTGTGGAGAGAAACTTGTTCAACCAAGTACCCTGCCTGAGTACTCCGGGCTTCTACGATGTTTATGCCTTCAATAGTCTCATAAGTATCGATAATTTGCCCCTGTCTTCTTGCACCAAGATGTACACCAGTTTATTGATTCCAGATGAAGTAGTGAATCCCCCATTCAATACACTGCATTTGAACTGGACAGAACCAGGGTGTGGAGCTTGTGAAGCTCAAGGCCAGAGGTGTAGATCGACGACGAACAGCTCAATTGGATATGAATGCTACGTTCCGCCAAAGGGAAATCAAGGTATGATTGAGGAGAAGTAGCCTTTGTTCTGATTTCTCTAACCCAGTGATTTGGGTAAGCTGATGGTAACATTATTCATATCCCTCACTTCCCATTCCACTGTTTATAGGCCGCAGGAAGATCATGATAGCAGTGATTGTTGTTGGAGTTTTTCTGCTGCTAGTGGGGGTTGGTGTCTCATTCTACATGTACCATTCAAACAGAATCGAGATGGAAAACCAGGCCAAGATAGAGAAGTTCCTAGCAGACTACAAAGCTATGAAGCCAGCAAGATACTCATATGCTGATCTAAAGAGGATCACAAACAATTTCAAGGATAAATTGGGGGAGGGAGCTTACGGTACAGTGTTCAAAGGCAGGCTCTCCAGGGAAATCCATGTTGCTGTCAAAATCCTCACCAGCTCAACTGTAGCCAAGAATGGTGACGAGTTCATCAACGAGGTAGGAACCATGGGAAGAATCCACCATGTCAACGTCATCCGGTTGGTAGGATATTGCGCGGATGGATTCAGAAGAGCTCTGGTGTATGAATTCCTCCCCAATGAATCCCTAGAAAAGTTCATCTTCTCCGCCACTGATGGCGGTAATGGATCTCACATTCACAGCCTCGGCTGGGAGAGGTTGCACGAAATCGCGCTAGGGATAGCGAAAGGGATTGAATACCTGCACCAAGGATGCGACCAGAGAATCCTCCATTTCGACATCAAGCCGCACAATATCCTGCTCGACCACGATTTCAACCCTAAAATAGCCGATTTCGGGCTGGCAAAGCTCTGCGCCAAGGACCAGAGCGCCATCACCATGACCGCGGCTCGAGGGACCATGGGATACATAGCTCCGGAGGTTTTCTCCAGAAACTTCGGCAATGTCTCGTACAAATCAGACGTGTACAGCTTCGGTATGCTTCTGCTGGAGATGGTTGGAGGGAGGAAGAACAACGAAGAAGCCGATGTGAATGGCGGCCTGCGCCAGGTCTACTTCCCTGAATGGGTTTACGAGCATTTGGACAAAGGGGAAGAGTTTCGGATTCGGATCAAGGAAGAAGGAGACGCCAAGATTGTGAGGAAGCTCACCATTGCTGGCCTGTGGTGCATTCAATGGTACCCGGCGGATCGTCCTTCGATGACGGCTGTCCTTCAGATGCTAGAAGGAGACGGTGAAGGTCTCTCGATGCCGCCGAACCCGTTTTCTTCGGCGGGTGATGGGAAGATGGAAGGGGTAGCGAAAGGGAACCGGATTGCTCTGGAATTGGAAGCCATTTCTGAAGAATGAAGTTCAGGAAGAATGTGTTCTTCTTCGCGGCAAACCGTCGAGCATGTGGTGGGCATTTCGTATTTCAGGCTCCAACAAAAGTGGCGATCGTTTTTTTATTTTTTCTTTTGGTTATAAGGAAATTGAAAAGCGATTACAAAATTGACAATGTACACTAGTTATATCTCTTATCGACATTGAGGCCCAACGACTACCAAGGACAAACCGCCGGTTTGCTGATAATTGGGCCTCCGGCCCAGTGGATAAAATCCAAATGTTTTACGAATGCTTAGGAAAAAAATTTATTTCCTTGGGGAATGACGGAAATATCCTCACACTCTCTTGCCTTACCTATATAAATCCTCGTCGTCTCATTAACGTCGAGCCCAGAGGCTTCCCGCCATTCAAACCGAAAATTCCAATAATCCGTCAGCTCCGGCCGCGCTGTTCTGATAGCCATTGGAGCTCCTGAAATCGTCTTCCTCGGAGAATAGAGGTACGCTAGAGTCTCCATTCAGGTTGAATGTCTCAGTAGGCTAGCGGCTCTTACATCTTCTTGATTAGCCATGCAATCAATTGATTTTAGGGTTCCCCAAGGGCTTCCACGCCAGTTCAAACCAATTAACTTGGTGCCGAACAACTTGACCTAACTTTTTTGATTGTGTAGTTCGACATTGGGATCCTAATCCAAGTCACACCAGTTTGTTCTAGTTTGAGATCGGGTTTTTTTGTCGATTCTTCTTCCTTGAAAGATTTTCTCATCTGGATAGTGAGTTATATATTACGCGTAGTGACCTTGATGCTGTTATTTTGTATTGATTCGTTCTGTGCTTTCTTTTAGTGGGTTTTCTTGGCTTCAGGTGAGTGACCAAATTAATGGTGTAAGAGTGCGAGTTAATGGAATTGATGGGAGGGTATCTGAAGTATGATAGTTCTACTGCAGTTACCACTCTAGGTCTACTTGTTATGGGGACTCTGCGAATTTGCTATTTTGAGAAATTTCTCAAAGGTTTCCATTGCATAACAGGAAGAACATTCAGGATGGCGAACTCAGATGATGAGCTTTACAAGGCTGAGGCCGATATGCTAGGTTTGTGGGAAGAGAAACGAGTTTTGGCTCACGAGGTTAAGGCTCAATGGGAGGAAATGGAGAAATTAAAAGAAGAAAGATATGTGTTTGATGCTCAAATTGAAGAGTTTAAAGAGTTGCAGTGGGAATTTGATGGAGATAATGCACCAGTTTCGACCTCTTATGCTACTGGACTAATCCTTTCTCCTACTCTGATGTCAGTATCTACCTTACTTCCTTCCATGGTAACTGAGAACTGCAACTCAGCTGTGGATGTGCCGGTAAACACAATTGTTCCCTCTTGCTCCTCCAAAAAACGACGTTCTTTCATTAACAATCTAGGAGACGATATCCTCGTAGAAATTCTGATTCGCAGCTTCCCAAACCCGAAACTGGCCTGCCGCTGCAAACTGGTTTGCAAGCAGTGGAACTCTCTCATATCCGATCCTTGCTTCAATCGCCAATTCGTTTCTCACCACCAGAGCATAAATGGAGGCGAAGGCGAATCACCTCTGATGTTCTCCTACTCCCGGGATCATGTGTTCAGCTTTCTCCCCGTGCCTGATGAAGTTAGCCGCAGATGGTATTTCCGTTTCCTGGTTTTTGATTCCTTCAAGGACTTGATTCTATGTGGGCTTGAGGAGTTAATTGGGTCTGCAGGATCCCTTTTTAGTGGCGAACTTGTCAGGTCTTTCTTTGTCTGTAATCCGTTTACAGAACAATGGGTCGCACTTCCTATAGCGCCAGAAAAGCCGATTGGTTCTACGAAATCGGTCACTAGGTTAGTATGTGAACCCCGTAGTAGTAGTTCTTGCAATCTTGATCTAGGAAATGGGAAAACATTTCTCTATTCTGATTATCGGTTCCTGGTGGTGTGCTTGTATCAACACACGACGTCTATAAAACTAGACGTGTTTTGTTCAGAGTCAGGGAAATGGACCAAGGAGGCTCTTGTTCTTGATGATCATCAACTAGTGCACAAGAATGTTATTTCCTGCAATGGGGAGCTGTTTTGGTGTTGTAGATGCTCTAATACTGGCAGGGTGGTATTATTTGGTCTTAACCCTTTCCACCTTGATGTCCCACCCGCTCGTTTCCGTATTTCTGAACGCTTATTAGGGTGGCAGTGGAATATTTCTGTCTCCCAAGGTACTTGTTACTTAGTTGTACTTAAAGGTGTGGCTTTTCCTGCCGTCTTGCATGTTTTGAGACTGAAAGATGACCGTAGAACTTGGATGAAGCAACATGAATGGTGGTTGTTGAAGACGACGTCGACATCAAGGTGTAACTATGAAGTTAAGAACTGTACTGTACTTGGTTTGCATCCAGGGAAGCCAGAAATCGTCTTCGTACTACATCGTGGTCTTAATGGCCCGAATATATTGTTCTTCAATTTGAGGAGCCGGGAGCTGGGGTTCTTCGATACCCCTCAACCTACTTGGATGGTGTTCCAGCCTAAGATCTTTTGCTGGCCCACCCCAATTCCAGGGTATGAGAAACTGCGAGGCATGTACGATGGAAGCTACAACTGTTGGGTTCAACAAAGCAGCAAAGCTACGACCGCTCTCTCCCTCAACACGACTTGTAAGTACTCAAACTTGTCAGAATTTTCAGGTTTTAGGAATTCAGCAATGAGAACAATTCAGTTAGAAGGGAAATTTTCTCCTCGAAATGAAGCATCCTTACTGCAACCACATCATGTCCCTTAACAGGATAGGGGCAGCAGTCATGCTAACTTCATAGAGAACTTTGTTGTGTTTGCAAAGCCTACTGTGCCCTAGCTTGTAATCTGAACTGTAGGATGCGCTGGGGCTGCTGTTCCCTCTCTTTATTCCTTCACCTGTCTAGTTTCTAACCTCAACCTTTGTCTCATTTTATGGTGTGGACTGCTGGACCGACAGAAGAATGTCAACCAGTTGTTGAGGGTGTTGATCACTCTGGTCACCAGAAGAAGGATGAACAACAGATCAGCAACTTCACACCCTAGGCAGCATCAAAGCGATTTTCAGCTGCTAAATGCTGTTGGTGTACTCGATGATAACAGAGGACCCCTGTTTCAACCAAGTTAATCTGCTGATGGGAGGTGCGGGTTCAGAATGGTTTGTTGCTGTTGATGGCTACTCAAGAAGGATTTTTCCTACCATCGGACTGCCACACATCTTCTAAGAGATGTATGAACTCTTTCTATAGTTGGTTTCTTTTCTTATATGAGTGGCATATTTCAGTATGGTCGCAGAATGAGAATTGCGGTTTAATAGTAAAAGAAATTTTACGATTAAGGACGGACCATAAAAAGCTAGATAGTATATACATAAAGGAGTACATCATAGTCCATAGACCAATTGATGAAATAGAGATTGAGACACTAAAACATACACCCAAGCTATCTACTAAGACCAAGCTTGAACCGGAACCGCAAACGAGACCACCGGCTCGGGGGAATTCCGGCAGATGGGGCAATTCCCTTTCAGTTTCAGCCATTCGTCGATACACTCCGCGTGGAAGCAATGGCCGCAATCCGGTATCGTTTTGAGCGTCTCTTTCGGGCAGTAGTCCGACAGGCAGATGGCGCACGTGTTCTCGTCTGGTTTCGGCAGCCGCCGGCTCTCCCCCAATACTATCTTCGGGTACGATTCGATCGTTTTCCGGTCTAGCCCACCGGCGGATATGGACGTCGGCGGAGCAGCGGCGGCGACGGCGAGATGGAGCTGTCGGAGATTGTGCTGGTAGTCGGCGGCGGCGGCGGCGGAGGAGGTGGGTGGTGTTGTGGTGGCGCAACGCTTGACCCTGCGGCAGATGCAGCACAATGCGCCGAGGCTGAAGAGGAAGAGAGGGATTCCGACGCCGATTGTAATGGCGTAACGGGCCGGCGCGGGGAGTCCTGCCAAGTGCCAATCGACATATGCATGTAACGAAGTTCAGCAAAAAAAGGCACTCTTTTTATCTTTTATTAAGAAAAAAGTTTTTAAGCTTGAATTAGAAAAAAGTGAGAGTAAACTTAAATTTAGACACGCCTAGACACTAGACAATACCAAATTAAATGTTTTGCTTAAGTTTTTCGTGATAAGTTAGGTATCAAGAACATATTGACAGTGTAATGCGCTACCTAGGTGTCTGTCACATATGCATAACTAGCTAGATGGAGCTAGCCACTCAATATCGAGAAAGTAACACTATCTACAAACCTGATCGGTTTTCTATGTCAATCTTTTCAATAACAGAAAGAACTTTGTGTGCTATTAAGCTATGATTCTATAAATTTGTGAGCTAATTTTCCATATCGTTAAGTGTTAATAAAGTTATTAATCATTTGAAATGAAGTGAAAAAGTGTTGTTAATTGTTACAAATTGCTATTTATTTTGTTTCAAGCATCTAGGCACTCGCTTAGGCGATTGCCTAGGCAAGTTAGGAGCTAGGCAAGGCCTCAAAACCCGCATTGCACACATCGCATTCTCAAACCTTGATTATACATTTTATTGAATGTACTCGAAGACACAACTTATTGTACATTTTAAGGTATTAATACTTTATGTGACAAATTCTCGTAATTTATATCTTTTTCATGTTGCAGATCCATAATTTAAATTTAGAGTGTGAACAATTAAGCAAATTTTAATAATAGATTAGAGTTGTATATTCATATGAGAAGAATCATAAAGTGAACTACTAAAGCAAAAAAGGATCGGGTATTGTAGATCAGCAACCGGTTCCAATGTTGTAAGAATCACAAAGTGAACTTCTAAAACAAATTTGTCTTTTAAATTGTTAAAGCTTCTCTAATTCAAAATTCCAATGAAAATGTGATGAAAATGTTGATCTAAGTTAGAATAAGGAAATGGCTTGTAAATTGCCGTGAACATTCATACATATGGAAGAACACGGTCCCAATGCTGGATTTAGTATATGAATGTTAGCGTTAAGGACAAAGATACAATGTTATGGTGAATATAGGAAAATGGTACAACCAAACATACAATGTTCACCTAAATTACTTTATATGCATATTGTTATTGTTGATGTATAAGCTATGGTATTGTAATCTTACCAATGACTTCCCTTTAACTTACATTCTTGTTTGATGCATGTGTCCAATATTTTTCTTTTGGGATGGTTGTTATGTGGAGTTTCGCCTAGTTTTTCTTCTTAACAAATTATAAATCAAAATAAAGTTAAACAATAAAAAAGAAAGAAAGAAAGAGAGTAAAAGATCCTTCACATGGATCAATTAATTTGATCAACTGTTTGTTTTACCAAACGAGTCCTTTCGAATTATCTCTCATACCTAATTGTCTCCAATTAGTCAAATTAGAAATTATCGAGGCTAAATTGTTTAATTCTAATTTTATGGTGTCAAAACATGTTAATTTGTCTTGGTTTTTGTCAAATTGAGAATTGAGCCCAATTAATCCGTTAGAATTCTCGACCAAACCTTAAAAATTAAGAAATGAACGGTTAGGTTTTCCCGTTTGATAATTGGCAGGGGAAGAATTTATACTAGTCGTTTGGACAGATCAAATGGAAAACGAGATAATATGACTAATTTACAAAATGAATCATTTAAAAAACGAGTCAATTCGATTTTATCTCCCTCCACCCTATGAAATTTTAATTGCTTTAAAACGAATCGAATTCGAAATTCCCGTATATCAAATTGATGCATCCAAAATTTATGCTTGAATTGTGTTTAGAAAAAATCTCATATAGTGTTCGAAAACTTTTGGCAAAACTGAATCAAAAACAGAGGAATTACCGCGTCGTCCTTGAGTGACGTCGAAACAGCCAATGCCACCATCGCTCCCCTTCAACCCGCACCTCCCGCCGCGCACCACGCACCGCCGGCAGTCCGGCGAGTCCCACGTCAGCCGGAGATCCGCGCTCAAATCCGACGACAACACCTGCTCGTAGAAAGGCCACTCCACGGGAACCTCCACCGCCGCCACCACCCGGCACGACGGCCGCCGCCTCAGCCCGGCGATCGCCCTCCCCGACGACGACGCGAACACCGAGTACTCCCCGCCGCCGCTGAGGCACGCGATCGGGTTCATCCCGGGGTAGCTCGAGTAATCCCCCGAGCAATTGAAGAACGTGTAGGTCTGGCCATAAAGTCCCCTGAACGGCGACGGCGACGAAGAGGTCGAGAAGTTGAGGGAGAGCAGCCGGCCGGGGAGGCAGTCGCCCGGGTCGTTGACCCAGAGCTCCTGAGTAGAATAGTCAACTCCGTGGACCACGAACGGCGCCGTTTCGGGGGAGAGGGTGATGAGGGTTTGGCCGTTGTCGGGACCGCAGGTGAGGTCGAACCCTTTGTAGCCACGGCATCGGTCCGGGTGCTGGGTGGACCGGATCCAGAAGGGGAACCGGATGGTTACCCCGTTCGAGCCGCAGAACGAGGAGGATGTCTGGCTGGGGCATTGAGATGGCGGCGGATTTTGCTGGTTGTGCGGTTGCTCGGCGGCGAGCGTGGTGATGGTGGTTACGAGGAAGAGGGAAAAGATCATGGAGTTTTTCATTTTTTTTTTTTTTTGAGAGAGAGAAACTGAGAAAGTGAAGGAGTGCGTTTTGTGCAAGGGAAAGGAATAGAATGATATAAATTTGCCATAGGCGTGTGGAACGGTTTGGTCGGCATTAGATTGAGCCGAATCGGATATAATGTTTTTGGTTTAAATCTAAACCGGATGTTATCAGTTTCTTTTTTTATATCGTAAATCGATAGAGGTGTAGAGTGTTTCAGTTTTGAGTAGTAGTGGTGTTTGTTTTCGATCGGTTCTAACAGAAACTTAACC